TTCACACTCAACATATTAGTGCCCTTTGCTGTTTAAGTTAAAGTGTTCACACTCAACATATTAGTGCCCTTTGCTGTTTATGTTAAAGTGTTCACACTCAACATATTAGTGCCCTTTGCTGTTTATGTTAAAGTGTTCTCAATCAACATATTAGTGCCCTTTGCTGTTTAAGTTAAAGTGTTCACACTCAACATATTAGTGCCCTTTGCTGTTTAAGTTAAAGTGTTCTCAATCAACATATTAGTGCCCTTTGCTGTTTAAGTTAAAGTGTTCTCACTCAACATGCTAGTGCACTTGTACTTTATTTGCTTCAATTATATGTTTTGTACCATTAATAATTTCACCACCAAGCTGCCATTAGTCGTTGTTTTGTGACTTCTGTATATCACTCGAGGTTTAACTTGATTATCTACAAAAAATGCATATGTTTTTAATAAAGCTATAAACCTTTACCAACATTTCAAAATAACGACCCATATTAGCATATAGAAAAGTTATTTTGCCAAATTATTAACAGGATATCTGTCTCATTTTATTTTATAAATGTGTATCATATTTTGGGAATGTTTTACTGCATGTCAAAATAATATATGTTTGTTTGTCACATTTTTCGCAAAGCTTGTTTGTTTTTGAATTTCGCGCAAAGCTACACGAGGGATACCTGCGCTAGCCGTCCCTAATTTAGCAGTTTACGACTAGAGGGAAGGCAGCTAGTCATCACCACCCACCGCCAACTCTTGGGCTACTCTTTTACCAACGAAAAGTGGGATTGACCGTCACATTATAACGCTCCCACGACTGAAGGGCCAGCATGTTTGGTGTGACGGGGATTCGAACCCGCGACCCTCAGATTGTGAGTCGAGCGCCCTAACAACCTGGCCATGCCGGGCCCTTTCGCAAAGCTATTCGAGGGCTATCTGCGTTAATTTAGGAGTTATACACTAGAGGGCAGCTGTTCAAGTATATTCACCGCCAACTCTTAGACTACTCTTTAACGACGAAAAGTGGAACCAATCGTCACATTATGGCGTCCCATGCCTGAAAAGGCAAGCATTTTCAGTTGCATGATTCGAACTCTCAGTAAGCAGTTTGCGAGTCAAACACCAGGGCGACGCCACGCCCGGGGAGTATACATGTATGAATTAAATGTTTATACAATAACATGAAGAAATGTCACTGTTTTTCAGTTTTCAGCTTGGTTTTCAGGTGCATAACGTTCGTTTACAGAACTTGTTAAATTGTTCACCAAAATGTCCTTTAAGTGGATCAGTGATCGAAACGTTCGTAAAAATATGTTTTGTAAAAGTGGTACCAGAACTTCTTTATGATGAGTGAGTGGTAGTTGTGTTTTGTTAACGTAATTGTTACTATTGAATAGTTTTTTTACAATGGGCTATTTATCTGTCTACCGAGGAGAATCGAACCCCGGATTTTAGCGTTGTAACTCCATACACTTATCGCAGACCCACCAGGGTACTATTACCGTTGTAATCCACCTAAATGCGGGTTGAATGTTTCTAGTTACAGGACACGTTTATCGAAGAAGATATGCGCGTTCTCATAATTTTTATTCAGCAAGTTTTTCTTGTTTTATTAATTTTGCTGAGTTCCAAAAATGTATACTAACAAGGCTTTTTATTCAAACAATTTTAATCAAATCGTTTTATGTAAAACAGAACAATTGGGATTTGCATGAAAGAAAAAAAATATTGTCCCCACCCCCTGCAACATTACAGAAAATTATATGACACGTTATATATCCCCGAAGTTTATTAACATGAAAAATCTAATTGTGGATGACGTAATATCATATCTTTAGATGTGACGTCATACTTACGTCAATATTAATCCCATCTAAGGGAAAGAATTGTCTCTGTGGTATTTCCTTGGGCACGTAACGGAAGAATTCTAGGTCGTCCTTGTACCACTTCACAGAATAGAGGTTGTCCTCTTCCAAATCGTACATGCAACTAAGTGTAACTTCTCTAGCCAATCGAACGTTTTTAGGAATGTCCAGTTTAATTATTCGAAGACCATCCGCAACTGAAACAATGAAACATGTTCAGATCCAAATAACATGTGTTAAATATTTCAGTTTCTTTAACTTCAGTTATAGACATTGTAAGGATCTTCTTAGATAAACATTATTGCTAAAGGAAAGAAAGATTAAAACAGATTAAACAGATTAAAACAGATTAAACAATGAAAATTAAAGAACTCAGAAAATATTTAGAAAATTTGTATCTTCTCACGAATTATTTATAATCATTATAATAATTAAATATAACATATCCATATACTTAATACAAATCTAAACATCACAAGTATTTCAATATTATTTAGGTTTATATTGTATTATAAACACTAACGATTGGAGAGGCAAAATATAAGAAAAACATTCATTGAGTTCAACATCAATAAACTTGATTTCGAAAGTGAAGATAAATTCCTTTTCTTGTTTCCAATTTCGCGCAAAGTTACTCGAAGGCTATCTGCGCTAGCCGTCCCTAATTTAGAAGTGATAGACTAGAGGAAAAGCAGCTAGTTAACACTATCCACCGCCAACTTTTGGGCTACTCTTTTACCAACAAATAATGAGATTTATCGTCACATTTTAAAGCCTCCCACGACTGAAAGTGTGAGCAGGTTTGGTGACGGAGACGCACGTGATCGTGCACCCTAACCACCAGACCATGCCCAGGCCTCACGAATATTGATTTGTTTTACTTTATTCGTACCTTAAACATACATAGAATAAATATTAATACAAAATAAAACTCAGTGACAAACATAAAGATACCTATTTCTCGCACGACAAAACTATTGGTTTCATCGATTTAATAATTGATATTGATTCTGTTGCGTCAGCGAGGTCACGTGACTAGTATCACGCCACCTCTTTCTAGAAATATCCTGTTCCTTCAAGAATGCCCTAGCATTTACTAGATATGTGTTAGTTTTGTATATATATAAGACGTTCACAACGTGACGGTACAACAGGTAATGAGTAATTGAACTGCAGTCAGAGAGTGTGTAATTGAACGGAGTATTGTTGAGTTGAGCACGTGAGACGCTCGTTGTGAATTATAGCGTTTGTTATAGCGCGACTGTGGAAATTAAGCGTATTGCAAAGTTGTATTCAAAAAGAATAAACCAGTTTTATTTAAGAAAGGAATTGTGTCGCTAAAGTTTCGTCGGAACGAATTTACGGAAAATTAACTAACGAACAGAGACGTAACAATTCCTAGACGAAACTAAGACGTAACACTGGCGATCCATGATGACAATCGGTGAGTGAATTATTTTATTTGGGAGTGAAATTAATTTAGAATTTAGAGTAGGGGAGACCGGGGCTAGTTGTTACAGGGGCAAGTTGATACAGTGCCTCTAGCTCTTCTTGAGATTAATAGACGACGATAGTTCATGGACCATCGAACAAGTGTTGCGCAAGCTTTGTTTTAATGGCGGCATGAATAGGATAAGTCACGAAATAAAAAAGGTATGTACATTTTCTGTTTTTGTATACCTAAACTAAAAAAAATGTCTAGGAAATATCTATTTAC